GTGCACCATACGGTCCTGGTGGTGCACCATACGGTCCTGGTGGTGCATTATATGGCCCTGGTGGTGCACCATACGGTCCTGGTGGTGCATTATATGGCCCTGGTGGTGCACCATATGATCCAGCACCTGGTCCATTATGTTGGCCACCATATACCCCGGGTCCAACTTGTGGCGCATTATGTTGACCGCTATATTCAGCGGGCGTACTGTGTTGACCAGCGTTATATCCGATGGGTGCGTTGTGTTGTTCACCACCCGGTGCATTCTGCTGAGCAACGCCATGTCCTGCATGATGGCTGCCACGATTTCCGCTTGATCCATGATGATGATGACTACTGCTATGCCCCTCATGTTTACCGTGTTGACTACTATGGGCACTTCCCTGGCTCTTGTGCGAACAAGCAGAACCTCCTCCTTCTTTATGAAGAGAAGCAGGGCCTTTTGATTTATCATTTTCTTTCACAACGCTGCCTGGGCCGCTACCAAGTCCACCTTAAAAGAAAATCAAACAAGGGTTTTCTCAGAATCATTCACATTGAAGCTACATATGTTAAAGTTAGGAGTAATGCCTCATAGTTAAAAATTTTATTCAATACTGACAGTATTCGAAGCTATAGTTTCTCTATGAAACTTTATAAGTATTTAGGTAGACAAATATACTTGTATATTGTTTTACATGATCATAATATTAACTATTGAAGATTTTCTTCATCAGTAATAGAAATAAATTATCATAAGTGAAATAAAAACTGATATTCACGACATAACTTTAATTTGTATGGGATTTACCTGAATGCTGATGATGATGGTTATGTTGCTTATGATGATGATGTTGATGACCAGACATTTTAAAAAATTGATAATTTATTCGCTGAAGTTTGGCAGACTATTCAATCCTCAACAACATACATATATATATACTTTTTTTTATGTTTGTCCTTGAGTGTCGTTTGGAAAGAATATTTGTGCTTATTATAATGTGCGTATAAAGAAATTTTCTTTCTCTTACAATTGAATTAAATACAAAGAGTATTAGCAGTATATTTTTGTACCTTTTTAGCATTTGTTTCGTTTGTTTCTTCTAAAGACACCGCTGTTGTCGTTTGCTTGCATTAAGTGTAGACAAAGCATTTTATATTGTTATTGCACGTTATTTTAGCTTTCAATAAATATTTAACAGATTTACCTATTATGTTGGTCAAAACAATGTTGTCTTTCATCGAACGGCATTGTTTTTCACCAAGAGAAAATCGACTGAAGACACACTTTTAAATGTTAAAATATGCGTTTAAAAGAGAATTACTTTTTGAAAACAAACCGATTTAATGATGAAACGCTTACGAATTGTATTCTCTCAAAGCCATTAAACAGTTTTAATTAATTTTAGGATATGTAAAACAAATAAACTGTTCTGTATTATGTTGACAAAATTCACTAAAAGTTTATTGTTCCTATCAAATCAATAGTCATCATTAATTATTAGTTTCATAAATATATGAATTTTTTTAATGTATCTCAATACATTTTTCAAATAGTAGACGATAAATGTGATAACTACTGAAGTATACTGTCTTTTTTTTAGTTAGATAAGCAAAGTTATAGTGTTGAGAATATATTATAAATTTCAAACTGAATATTTTATATTTATGATCACCCAATAACATCTGACATCATTATGACAAAATTTTGTGATATATTTTTTATGAATTGTTGTATATATATCTATATTCGACATATTATGAATTATTTCGTGAATTTAAGAGTAGAAAATTTCTCAATGTACCATCAATCATTCAAAACATAAGTTCATAACATACAAGATTATCATGAATGCATTCTTATGTGACAGTAATAGTCTGTACGATCCATTCAAATTTTTTATTATAAAAATCTTTATTAATAGATGTAGTTTTATTAATTTTTACATAGTATTTTCAGTGTAGGAATATCTACCATAGCTGAATTGGCTAATAAGTCATCAATAATGAAAAAGAGAAAGAACAATGATAAGATAATATATATATATATATAAATAATACTCTTATTCAAGTGAACCTGAATTGTAACAGTTCATCACGATTTATATTGCATAAAATGATCTAATCTTATATATATATAATAAACTTAGATCGAACAAATCAAATTTAAATTTTAGATTAATTTTGAGTATACAAATTTTGGTGAATACACAGTATATGTTTAAGGAATGAAGAGTACAAAAATCTATTTTTTGTTTGATTACTATATATATTTTAATTAATAAAAAATATTTAAAAAAAATACTTGTTTATGTTTGACGTAATCGATGTATCATAGGAATGTAGAAGGGTGTTATTTTTCGATTATTTCTGCTACATAATATCACTGATAAGACTTCGTGTCGAAATTCACTGAATGTAATCATATAAAGTGGAAATGATAATATGTGATATGTAAAGAGCATCGAGTCCAGTATTATTAGAAGAGTATAACTTGCTGTATTTCCGAAAAATGCAAAACCTACAGTAGCTGGTATAGTCATAATCAAAAAGAGAAATGTTGTAATAACAACTGTAATTGATATAGTTCGATGATGGATACTTGAATTTTGAAGTATTGTCGTGCGACGTAGACGAATCAAACGATAGATAACACCACCGTTGAATATAAGCATTAGTAGAAACGGTAAACAATTGTACATGACTAAATTAACAAAATCCCATGTAGGAGAAATAATATAGAAACCAGAATTAGCATGTAATGATCCGTTTATGTCGTAAGAACAAGCAAATATAATAATGTGAACGTTGAATAAAATAAAGAAAATGATAACACATGTAATAATAATGAGAACATATTTAGAACGACCAAACCGTGTTCGATGAAGATAAGTCAATGATAAGTATCGATCGAAACAAATAAATACACGTAGCCAAGCCGATGTTTGAGGAGTAAAATAATTAAGAAAATAAGAAAACTTACATGAAATAATCGTGTACGTACTTAGTTGAAAACCATGTATACTCAACGTATAATGATCTAAATTCCATCCATACAACATGAGAATATCAAAAATAACAACTGTACGCATATAATATAATATTGGTCGTTCTCTTGCGTTTCGAAATTTTGATCGACACAGAACGATAAATGTTAGTAGATTGAATATAGTGCCTACAATAATTAGGCATAAACTATAATATGCAACCGCATTTGTCAAGATGCTCGATTTTTTAGAATACACTATTGTACTGTTCGACATAATATGATAAATTGACTTTCACATTTTCAGGAATGCATTATTGTGAGTATTTGATGAAAGTTCTTGTCCAATTATAACTAGAATAAATGAATAGTCTTAATACTAATTTTAGAATAAATGTCTGAACACTATTTGATTTAATTAGATAAATAATTATTTGAAAGAGATCAAGATTAGTCAAAGAATTTAATTCATAGTAAAATTTACCTCAATTATAATCAACAATTGTTAAGTACACGACCGAACGATCAAAAAAGAAGAGGAATGTTAGTTGAATGACAGTTTGCATAGAAACATACAGACATATTTCTGTACGATGAAGAAAATTTGTAATAAATTATAATCTACTACGTACATAGACAGACGTTTTCTTGTAAAATCAAGAGAAAGAAAAAATCACGTTTTTACTAATTTATAATTCAGCTCGATTAATAACTTCTATAAAATGAACAACAAAAGAATCACATTTTTACCAAAAATGGAAAACATCATAGCTACGCATCGACTCATTTACATTCTCATCGAGTTACTGCGAGGTATTTGTCGTTCTATTTTTGTGATCTGCATAAGGTAAAAGTGTATTACGCATATATAGTAATAAATAGAATGAGCAAAGTCAATTTTCTAAGACATAGATGACGTGCCATCATGATAGAACAACAAAAGTGATTGGTGAAAGGTTAATAATTGAGCAAGTGTAATTTATCTCATCCGTTCTTTATTGTAATTTATCATTCTAAAATACAAAAATGTCCTGAGCAAAGTAACAAAATAGAACAAGAAGTTGTAACTAATCTCAGTTGTCAAATATTTCAATTTACTTTACAGATCGAGTTCTTCTATTATTGATTTGTGGATCAGATTTCATAATACTCGAGTAAATTCAGTCCACATTGAACAGAATCCTACTAGAAGTTATAGAAACTCAAATTAGAATCGATAATAACAATTCAGTCATTAATATGCCGAGAACTTTTAAGAAAAAAAATTGATTGAGATTATCCAAATCGAATAGGACACAGTTAAATAAAATAGAAAATCATTCATACTAACACATAGAATAGACTGATTCGACCTAGCGATTTTAATCGGTGTGGTAGGTGTGGCAGGGTAGTCAAAGAACAAAAACTCACTCACACACATGAAAGTTAATTTGAAATAATAAAAAGTATCATTTTATTTTATTAATATTTGCAATTTATTGTTGTTTTAATTTAAAAAAAATATCCTTAACATACTTAGATAGAATGTCAAAATACCTGTCGGTACTTCTACATGCATGTACCTTAACCTCTGTAAGATTAATGCAGGATTCAACAAATTTTAAAAACAATTCTGTTTGTACTACAAAATATATTAGAGATGGGGAAAATGACAGTTATTAATTTACAGAATTATTTTTATAAATTCAGAAAATACTAAGACAGAACTAAAACGAACTGTTATCATTATTGTCACTCACCTTAGTTAAATATTGACTTTTATGTTCTTTTTATATATATTAATCAGACAAAAACGATACAGAGTCATTGTGTTTTTGTTTCGTTCTATTATAAATAACAGCCATGTGGTCTACTCTATTTATGATTAGTATATTATTGTATATTGCTTATCGTTTTTTAAAGTATTGGATATTAGATCCATGGTATATTCACAAAGATTTATGGGCACAAGGTATTCCAGGACAATATACACCTGTAGTAGGTGAGATACTTAATGTACGTCGTGCTGTTCTTGCTGACGATCCTCTATCTTTTATGGTTGAAATGGGAAAGAAATATGGCAGTTACTATCATACATCATTTGGTCCAGTACCTCGCCTTTGTACGAGTGATCCATCATTAATTCAAGGTGTATTAAAAACGAATGCTCGTTTTTATCGTAAATCTAATTTGATGCGATTAATTCTGGGAACTTTATTAGGTTATGATAATCTCTTATTGGCTGAAGATAATATTCATAGTCAACATCGCCGTCTTATTGCACCTGTTTTTCAACATCAAAATATAAATTCAATGATTTCACTTATGGTTGAATTAACATCAAATCTACTTACGAAATGGAAACTAACTCTTCACGATGTAGAAAATAAAGGAAAAGAATTAACTATTGATATACAGAATGAAATGACACATTTAACATTAGATATTGTAACTGGCTGTGTTTTTGGAAATGGATTAATGAAAAATGAAAATGTTCGTGAAATAATTTATAGAAATGTAACAACAACATTAGAAGATGTTCAAAACAGAACATTGAATATGATTGGTCTTATTCCGATTATAAATCGTTTACCTTTTCCAAGTAAACAACGTATCGATAAATCAAAACACGATGTTAGAATAGTTATACAACGTATTATTGATGATAGAAAAAAAAATTTAACAACATCTTCTTGTAAAGGTTAAAATAAATTTTTAAATTAGTTACGAAAAATAATTCTATTTTATCTGTATTTTCTTTACAAACATATATATGATAGTTTTACATTATTATAATACTCTTTTTTATATCTAGGACCTGATTTACTTGATTTAATCTTAGCAGCACGTGGTGATGATAAAATAAGTAAACTTACGGATGAAGAAATTTACGAAGAAGCACTTACTTTCGGTAGATAATATATTTATTTCTATTAATTTTCATAGAAAAGCATTTATTTAGTTCTTGCTGGCCATGAGACAACATCAAATTTAATGACTTGGACATTATATAATTTAGCAAATAATCCTGATGTTTGTCAACGATTAGAAGCCGAAGTTGATTCAGTCTTAAATGATAATGAAGAAATAACAGCATCTACACTTTCACTTTTAACGTATACAGAAGCTGTTTTAAAAGAATCTTTACGACTTCATCAACCTGTACCAACAATTGTTCGACAAGCAGTTGAAGATAATATGTTAATAGCTAGTGATGGAAAACAAATTCATATAAAAAAAGGTACTGATATCCAGGTGAATTTTTTTCTCCTTCATCAGTAAGTAAAGAAGCATTTTTTTCTCTATTTTATTTTATAATAATAAATAGTTCAGAAAAATATTGGCACGAGCCATTTAAATTTAATCCATCAAGATTTAATGAACGTCATGTAGATACATATTTACCATTTTCTGCTGGACCACGTTCATGTATTGGACAAAATTTTGCAATGTTAGAAGCAAAAGTTATGTTAGCAATGATGATAAAAAATTTTCGTTTTCAACTTGTACCTGGTCAAAAACATGTCCCAGAAATTCTTATTACAATGAGGTAATAATAATTTCAATAAAAAATGTTTTTTCTCTAAATTATTCATTCTAGGCCAAAATATGGAATGTGGATGAAATTGTCATCACGATAATATTTTTTTTCTTCTAATGTGATATAATAAAAATTTTACAAATGTGTAAAAAAATCAATATAATGATGCATAATGTTTTTTTCCATATCATTATGATTTATTATTCATATTTGTAATTATGTCAAGTCTATGACGAATATACATTTAAGGTAATGATGTATATGACTCGAAGGCAGGAAGTTGTTTTTTCTAAGTAGTATATTACATTTTTGTTTTTCGATGACGTATGGCGGCGATATCTAGTGACACTAAATGTAGATCGTTCAACTGGTTAAGAAAGAAATTTGAAAAATGAGAACGAAAGAAATAAATGTAGTTGTTTAACGTTTTATCAAAAAAGACAAGAAAAGAAAATGAATGAATCGTTATTATCATCATCTGGTGATTCTCTTGAATTATCAATTAAAGAAAATACTAATGACATATTGGATTCTTATTCAATATTATTCGATAAAGCTAAACATAATTTTTCGACAAGTTCAGAAGTTTCATTTAACAAACATGAACATTCAATAATTGATCACAATCAAATTGATACTAAAGAAATATCAACAGCCATTAATAATGTACCAACAGAAAAACCTATAAACTTCAATCCTTTCCTTTTATTCTTCACAGAAAATGATGAACAAGAATCAGTAAGTTTTGGAAACATTCTATCTTTTATCTTAAATTAAATTTCTTGAGAATATAAAAATAAAAGATGCATTCATTTATTCTTCTTTCAATTGTGAAACAGTAAAAACAAAAATCTATGTGCACATGTTCAATGAAGTACTCTTGATAAATATTCAAAATTTAATTTTATAGAATCCAATAGAACTAAATGCTTTATTATCAATGAAAACCATCTCTACTAATAGATCGACTGATTCATTTGATGAAACAGGTAAATATATTAATAATGGAGTATACATAATAGTATATAATAATTTCAATGTTCTTATTCAGTGACACGATGTGTAAGTCCACAACGAGACTCATTAAGAACGAAAATAGTAACTAAATGTGAACAAAATCATTCAAAAAAGTAAGACATAATTATCGTTAAAATTTCTCTCTTTTTCTCTTTCTGTCTCTCGATTGGACATAAGTTCGTTTTGCACTCGCTTTTCTCGATGAATAATGTCTCTCTATGCCCGATCTTTCTCTCTCTCTCTCTCTATTCACATGACACAATTTCCCTTCTTTTTTTTCGTCGTCTTTTTTTCCTCGCTCTTCGTCTCCATTTGTTACTGCTCTATACCCATATATATATACATAGTAGCTGTGTATGTGAACTGGTCTAGTCAGTGCATTTTTGATTATTTCTTATTCTGTTCACATCGTCGTCGGACAAGAACATTTTCTCCAGCTGATTTTGATGAAAATGATTTTGTAATTCAGTCATGTTGAAACATATTGGTCATTCACATCACGCAAAACTTCATACATTCGATGATTTCTATCGAGATGATTCCAAACCAATAAAAACACGTTCAACATCAACGGATTCTATTTCAACAAGTAATTCATCACCAACATCTCCATCATCACCAAATAGCAATCCATATACATTTTATAATATATTTTCTGAGTTTAAATCTACAATAACACCTGATGTTGTTCTTGAAGAAGATGAAACTGAACAAAATGATGAAATTATACCTCAAGAATTAACTCCAGTACCAACAGCTGTATTTTATCTAGAAGATGATCATCATAATCATCATCAAGCAACCTCACCATCATCTACATCACCTCATTGGCCATCTTTAATTCTGAATCGTTTCCGACATACAAATAATCATCATCATCACTATCATCCTCGTGGAATAACTAAACAAAATTCAATAAATGAGAATCAAATGAGTTTAACAAAATTACGTAAAAGTGATTTAACTGATTCATCAATAAGTAAACATCGTTTTCTTAAACGTTCAGAAACTATCAATACTGCAAATGGTTTAACAGATAAAAAATCTTCAAATGATGATTTTCCTGAATTATCATTATCAACAAATAATAATATGGTTAAAAAACATCGTTCATTTGTTTCATTATTACATCATTTTCATCATCATCATCATCATAGTAATAATCGTGAACATCATCAAAATTTATCAAAAAAAAATCCAAATCGATCAAATTCAACAGGAACTCTTAATATAGAAAAGGTGATTTCAAATACCAATAATGAAATTTCACGTCCAAAACTCATGAGACAAAAAACTGTACCTTCAAATAGTGAAAATCATTCACCGGTGAGAAGTACTCCTTCAACACCAATATTACCAAAAATTGCTTCTCTATTTCATCGCCATCATTTATCTGAACAACATAAATATCGTATAGGCAATTTAAAAGCTCGTCTTCATCATCGAAGAAATTCACCACCATTAACAAATACAGCACCTAAATTTCAATGTCAAGCATCCAATGAACTTATTCAAGAAATTAAACAATTAGAAGAACAAGAATATACGAATCCTGATTATATTCGTTGTCAACGTCCTGTTAAACCGGTGGTTATGAAGCGTGTACATACATGGCATAATTCATTTAATTTACAACCAGTTGATCAGTGCCTGGAATATTAACTTCATTTCATTTTTTCTTTTTTTTCCTTTCTTTATATGTCTTGTGCATGTATTTCAATTCAATAATATAAATATGTGATTCTTTTTCTTTCTATTAGAATTTCTTTCATCAATAATCGTCGAACAACTCATAATAATAGTAGTGATGATGATCAAGCATTTGAAAAATGTAATTTTAATATTACTACTAAAGTTAAATAAGAACAAAGAGGATGCACGAATTTTATTTCAAAAAATGATTGAGTTCTGTTATATTCTAATATAGATTTAGACATTCGTGCATTCTGATTATTCTCATTTAATTCTAAAGTTTATCGAAATATTTTGGAAGTATTTCATTTTATATAATAGTTTTACAAGAACATCGAACTGTAAAGACAATTAAATGTGAAGAAAAACCATCGATTGAACTAAAAAGAAAAAAACGAAATAGGTGCCAATTGATTTTTTTTTGTTGTAGTTTTGGTTTTAAATACATATATATTGTGTAAATTATAGTATACAGGAATTTATTTGTAATTCATCATCAGCATCGTCTGGAGAAGATGATGATCCATCAGAATTCTATTCGAAAGTAAATAGAATAATTGATAAAGATTTATCATGGAGAAAGTAAAATTTATTAAAAATATTTGTATCAAAATTATATTTATCTTTTTGTTAGACCTGAAGAGGACTATTCATCTGATGAATCCAGTCAATTATCTTCATCTCCATCATCATCTTCTTCAGAGAATGATGAACGAATAATACGGAAGAAAAAAGATATGAAAATATCTATAAATTTTCTTGAATCGCTCTCAAACTATGTACCACTTGAAGATAAACATTCTGATGCTAAACAGTATATTTTCTTATTTGAAATTTTTATAATCAAATATTTTTTTAATAGATATTTTATTCGAACAGGATTTAAAAATAAAAATAAACGACGAGAATTAGCTGAAAAACTTTTTTCAATATATGATCAAGATGTTTTTTCTTCTAAAGTAAATTTAATTTATTTATAAAATTATATTTTATAGTTTATTTAGCTTTCGGATAAAGTAACAATTGTTTGGAGTGGTCGATTGACAGCAACAGCTGGTCATTGTACAACTCGACGTTCAAGTCAGACAGCTACAGTTACACTTTCACATAAAGTTTGTGATTCACCTGGTTCGTAAGAAATATATTTTATTGTTATGATTAGTTCTTATATGTCAGATGCTTCTTTTATGATATATTATGTTACTGATCACGACAAATATAATAATGTTGATATGCAAAAATGTCTATCTCTATAAATTAAGACAAGCAAATAGATAATAGAATGACTCTAATAACAGAGATTCCATGAGTGAAGTCTCTTGAAGTCCGCTGTTTCTCTCCAGATGTAGTATCTTTATTACTTCGATTACTTTATTCTTCAGTTGAAAAAAATTAAATTATAATAACTTATTTTAGAACGTTGTCGTGATACACTTCTACATGAACTGTGTCATGCAGCTGTATCATTAATAGATAATGTTACAGATCAAGGTCATGGACCATTATGGCGTAAATGGACACATAAAGCTGAACGATGTTATCCTTATTTACCAGCAATATCAGTAAAACATACGTATGATATCGCTTATAAATTCATTTATCGATGTATTCAATGTCATTATGAGTAAGTTTATTAATAAAATCTCTCTATTGTTTTTGATCAATACTTAATTATCTATTGAAGAGTTCAACGTCATTCGAAATCACTTAATATTGAAATTGATTGTTGTGGAAAATGTATGGGAAAATTTGAATTATTATCAAATAATAATAAAACAAATGAAGTTCAAACACCAAAGAAAACATTAACTCGTTATAATTTATTTATTAAAGAACATTTTCAAACAACGAAACAAGCTCAACCACATTTATCAACACCACAATTAATGAAACATTTAAGTCAAGAATATAGAAAAACAATGGAACAACAACAACAACAACAAAATCCTATTGATTTACCTGATCTAGAACAATTAAAAATTTGATATTCTTTTTTATTCTCTCGTGTATATTAGAGAATTATGTAATACTTTTTCTTTTTTGTTGTTAATTCAATGAAATATATTAATTTGGAATGAGAATCTTATTTTCTTCTACGTTTTTTAACATCAAATACTGCCATATATATACATATTTCGATAGATGTCATGCATAAAATAAAATGGAATAAGGAGTTTCATCGTCTCGACAACGAGTGAAAAAATGTCTTATGTTTTCTTTTGATTTTACCTTGCACATTTTTGATTGTTTTTGTTTTAAAATATGTCAGTATCAAAAGGTAGACAGAGTCCACCACCTGAACAATTATGGAAATCTTGGGATCGTAAAGCACGTAAACAAGGTTGTCATGCAACAATCTATTCATCGGATGGTTCACAATATAAAGGAGATTGGCAAAATGATAAAAGACATGGTAATAATACTTTTATTTCTTATTGAATATGAATCTAAGGTTTGATTTCGCATAGAATAGGTAAAGGTGTTTATTTATGGAAATCAACAGGAGATTTTTATGAAGGTGATTTTGCTAATGGTACACGAACTGGTTTTGGTACATTAACTGTTAAAAGTTCAGATGGGAAATTGCAACGACAATACGCAGGTGGTTGGAAAAATGATAAGAAACATGTAAGTATATTCATATTAAATAGATCATATTATAGATTATTCTGTTTTAGGGATATGGAAATTTATTTTTTTCAGATAATGAACATTATGAAGGTGAATTCTATGCCGATAAACGAAATGGTTGGGGACGAATGTTTTATGCAGATGGATCGACTTATGAAGGACAATGGCTTGATGATAAACGACATGGAACAGGAATGTTACGATTAGGTAATATGAATAGATTTATATTATAATATTCATTTTTTATTTATTTATAGCAAATGATAATCGTTATGAAGGTGAATGGCATGCTGATAAGAAACATGGTCAAGGAAAATTTTATTATGTTACAAGAGGACAACTTATGGAAGGTTTATGGGTAGATGATATTTGTAAAGCTGGTGAAATGAAAGATTTTGGACGAGATCAAGCTATTATACCAACCCCATATCCTATTCCAGATGTGAGTTTTAATTTCTTCTATTTATTTCAAAATTTTGAAAAATTTTATTTTTAGTTGTCACTAGCAAATCCTGATCAAGTACTAACAGACGCTAAAACTACATTTACAGACACAGATGGATAATATATTTTATTATATTTTGTATTTTACAAGACTTTTATCTATTAAAAAGAGTCATTTATTTTATCAGAGGCAGTAGTACATGCTTGATATCGTATATTATACATACATCTCTTAATATCGATATTTCTTTTTGTTTGATATAATTTCATTGTAATACTTTTCGATATGTGAATTGTATCTGAATATGAACGAAATTATCCGAAAAAAATATAGTTATCCGATTTGATCGATTTCAAAACTTTATAATACCGTGAAAAAGATGTTTGTTTGTCAATTGATAGTATGATGAATTATTTCATCAAAAATCTTACTTATATTATCCAGATATGCTTATCTATAAACAATTTTCTTATTAGGAAAATTTTTTTATAAGAATAAATAGACATTTTATGATTATGAAGATAGAATCAAATTTCGTCTTATAGAAAAATACAGAGCTATTTAATAAGTTATTATTGTATGAATTGATGATCCTTTCCAGTAGTATAACTGATAATCATCTTAATCATTTATTTTTTTCTAATAATATGTTTTTTTATGCAATTTTGTTGAGAATTTCCTTTTTTTAATATTTTATTTTTTTTTCCATTCACATTAAGTTTAATTCATAATACAATGCAAATGAATAAGTAAAACGATTCCAATATATTCATAGAATTTGTTTTTCATTTTCTCATTTTGATATTAATGAATAATAATGATAATAATATCAACAGTTTCGATTTATTCATTATCATAGTCTATATTTGGTAATAACGTTGTTATTAGAAAACAAGTTATTTCTTCTATAAGTAACAACGCATAATTGATATATTCATGACAGTTACTGTCCTCCCTCTATTCTGTTTGTGTTGGCAACTGTATTAATTATATATAATACCCATTCTTTTCTTATAATTCACTGTCATTTCTATTATTCTACACATAAATACTCTACTAATATTATTATAATAAACATGCGTCCAGCTTATGCCGGTCCAGCCTCATCTCGTTCACAATGGAAAGCTACACAAGATCCTGGTAAAACATCACCAACTTCAAATGTTGCTGGTTATCGATCTGCTGGTCTCGATGTTAATCCAGCATCATTGACAGCATCAAATCTTCCACAAGAACAACAATCTGAAGCAGAAGAAAAAAAACAATAATGTTCGATTTATTTATTTTTTCATATGAAGTTTTTCTTATTTTCTTTCATTTAATTATTCTAGCAAACATATGTATAACAACATTTACTTTAGCAAATATATTTGTTTCATAATAAAATTTGTAATATTTAATCTTTTTATTATAAACTTTTTTTACAACTAGTGAAAATAATAGGATGTGTCTCTGTTGGATTACATAAGTGTGACAAATAAAATATTTTCTATGATAAAGATATATTGGCTAAGTTCATCTTTAGATACTTTTTCATATATCATTGTCTCTTTATCCGCTTTACACTTTATGCACTGTGTAATTTTCTATAACATTTCGTTGTTTTCTTATCATCTTAAGCATTTTTATCAGTAACATATAAAAGAAACAAAAGCTATAAAAAGATAATGCCATTCCTGATATAACATATCTATATTTATAAATAGTTATTTTATTGATAATTATACAATCAACACTTTTTGAGTTTCACTAAATCGTAATGATAAGATATCTGTGACATATTTATATAGAAACTTTAAGAAAAGTGAACACATCTATTTAACAATTACATTTATTAAGTTAAATTTAATACTTTTGGATTTAGAAGATATCTGAAATACTCAGATAGAGATATATCGAAACAAGAAAATAAGCTTAAATCATCTGAATATTTTTATTTTAGATATGAAACTTAAAAAGGAGTTTTATAGTACATGGTTTAGTCTTTGTACACGCCTCCGAATCCTTTTAAGGTTTCGTAGATTTTTTTAATCTGTTTTTAGACCTTTGAACGCATTTGGAACCTTTTAGAAACCAACGAAATCTTTTTGGAGTGTTTCTTTTTTTACGGTGTAGACTCATTTTGTTTCATGGAGAAAAATAACTCTATTTTTATTTTTCTCATCAATTACACCAAAAACTTGCAATTCATTCATAAATATAATATCATTGTTCGATTCAGCTATAGTTCAATGATCGCATGAATGATTTTAATGCATTTTAAAAATAAAGCCTGTTACGCTTCTTGATTCAGTTATAACTCATATGACGTTTGAACCTTATTTGATACCGCAAAAGATATCGATTATTTTAGAATAGTGATACTTAGATGAAGAGAGAACATGAGAATATTATAAAAAACGATTATTTTTAGCAGCAAAGTTCCAAATGGATTATATTACGCGATTGAATAGAATTTTTATTTGTTATATATTTATTACCAACGAATTGAAACAGTTATATCATCTGATGAAATGCCTATTACTCGAGAATCAAATCGTCCCATATTTGATGGAGATGAAGAAGACGAAGATGAACATGAATGATGATTCGTCATCATATTAGAAACATGCCATGATGTCTAAAATATAAATAATATTTCAATTAATTATTTAAAAAACAAAAGTTCAGGAACAAACTTGTGAAGGAGACTCAATTCTTGGCATGGTTCGAAATTTTTTTTCATTGTGTAAATATATATTTTTTGTTGTTCCAAAATTATTCGTTGGCATATTGACATCAATTAAATTACTATTTAAAGAATCACTAAAGAATTCATTGCCATAATGATTATTACTATTTAATGTTGATTTAACAGGTGATAAAGCCACTAAATCATAATTACTATTTAATACTGATGACATATTTGTTATATGTGGTAAATAAATCGGATAGAAAAATGAAGGTAAATTTGGAATATATGGCCATGGAAGATTCATTAAACATTGACTTATACGATGATTTAATGATCGAAGTTGAGATACTAAAAATATGATATCATAAAATTCTATTGGAAGATGTTCATTGCTAGTTGAACGACGAGCTAAAATAAAATTAATAAAATTTTATATATATATATTCAATAGATCAATTATTTTTACCTTGTGTATATTCAGAAAATGCTTGAACACATTCATATTGACATTTTGGCCATGAATTATTTTCTTCATTTATTACATTTAAATCTAATTAAATGAAAAAAACATTTTTCTTGATTAAAAAAATAGTTTTTTTGTTACTTGTTCGAGTAATAATCATTAATAAAAGAAGAGATAATTCTTTTTCATCGAAATGAAGATCTTTTATTTTTGATTCAAATGAACGAAATTCATTTTCAGCTTCTGTTAATTGTGGAACATGTGCATTTAGTTCTGCTGATAATGTTGATTCAGCTTGCCAATAGTTCCATATTGGTTGAATATTATTATTATCATTATACGAATATTTTGTCGACGTCATTTTTGATAATAATGTTATCATGATTACAGAATTTATACTGGATGATATTATTTCATATCTTTCATACATATTATCAAAACCTATAACAAAAAGGTTTGTAACTAAAAAATTAATCTCAAACTAATTGAAAAATATTTGTCTATTCACTGTCACCGTATTCATCGTGAGAGGGAATAGACTCTTTTAAAAAAAAATAGATTATATCACCAGCAGTACAAAATGAAGAGAATCATAGGAATAAAAAAGAAAATAGTAATTTAATTATGTTACCAGGAATTGTTTTTTGACAGAAATTTATTACTGCCTCAGCATATATTGTCATTTGTGATGCCATGGTCCACCAGATTGTTTCACGAGGAATACATCGAGGTAAATCCTGTATACAAAATAAAAATAGACAAAGCAAACATAAAACGACGAAATATTCGAGTTATCTTTGCTTAATAATAATAAATATTCTGCAAACTACCTTTAAATGCATAATATATGCATTATGCACTTTTTTAATAAATTCTTTTGTAGTTAAAGAAAGTTCAATATCAATTTCATTATTTGTAGTAATTGCTAAAATCAAACGATGATTGATGTTTTTTGTTAAAAACTTTAAAATATTACTTCGTCCACTTTTAGTTTTTATCTTTCGTCGTTTAGCCATCGATGCAATACGAGCTGAATCTCTTATTGTTACCATTGATGTTGTACCATTTTGTATTTGTCGAATACTATTTTAGTTTAATAATTAAAATAAATTATTATTTAATCGAAACTACCTTTCTTTGAACAAATTTGATTGTCGACCAATACGTGATGCTAAGATAAATATTGAAATATATTTTTACTGTAAATAAACGCAGAAATCTGACTAACCTTTCATCGACATTCCAAAATGAATACATTTTTTAAATCTACATGCTCGACAACTAAGTTTTGATGGTGCTAATATTTCACAATTATTATTTTCTACACAAAGATATCGCTCAGCAGCATTTTCTTTTATTGAACGACGATAAAAACCCTTTAGAAATTGTGTCATAAAATTTATTTTCTCTTTCTTCAATATTCATTTTACTCTTACTTTGCAAGCCTCACAAGTGACGGCACCAAAATGAATACCTGATGCTGATGCACTACAAACAAGACATGGCAGTTTTTTATATAAATCTTCTGTTTTTGGTCCAACTGGTTCTACAAACAATTCACATAAATAAATAAGAAAAATAAATAAAAAAACAAATAAATAAATACCATGTGGTTTCATTCCCATTGAAATACATTTTTGAAATCGACAATATTGACATTGAGTTCGTGAACGTTTTGTTATTGAACAAGAAAAATCTTTTTGACATTTATACTTTTTATTTCCATCACCTGTTGAAATTGAACGAAGAAAAAATTTCTAAATAAAACAAAATTAATTATTGAGACTGTATCAATCAATTCATTTCGAGATTTACCTTGCATGCCTCACATGTTATGGCTCTAAAAATAAATAATGAAGAATAAATCAATGAAGATAAAATAGTTTTACCCGCAATGCCATCCTGATGCTAAATCTCCACATACTTGACAACTTTCATCTTCATTTAAATGATGTGACAAAAGATTTGAAGAACTACTTGTTATTTCTCGTTGTTTATTGTTTTGAAGGGGCATGCGTGATTGATGATCAGTATGTGCATAAAAGGGGTGGAAATTATATTCGTTCAATGTAATTGATGGAAGATCTGCACAAGTAATCGTTGACATTGTTACTTGAGATAAATCTAGAAAAAGAAAGAATTCTGCCATTATAAACGATTATGTAAAAATATGTAGAAGTGACTCCAGATAGACTTAGTTTATAGTCTAGAAAAGAAAAACGGTTTTATCATGCAAACAATAAATGGCAAAAATCGGCTACTGCTGATTAAACGTGAGAAGAAATGAAGAAGCAAAATCAAATGTTCTTTCTATTCATAACAATCTGTTTATTGTCATTGACATATAAATGATATTAAGATCATTAAAACACCATTTATCTTTTTCATTCTCTCCTTTTCATTTTAGATATTTCAGCATGATGACTAAATATTTATCGAATGAACTTAATCATGAAGATATATATTCTCCCTCGGGCTAGTTAGTTTAGATAAACTGAAAGAGATGAAGCATTTTTATAATCTTTATAGTCTCTTCATATTTTTTTATGACGTTCTAATGTTATGTTTTAGCACATAACACGCATGTTCTATATAAATATGCAAGAAAAATAATAATTGACCTAATCGTTATTTATGTGAAACTAACATATGTTATAGATTAAAAGACGTAGAAGCTTTTTTTACCTTGAAATATTTTTTACATTTCATAGTCTAAATTACATGTTTTTTTATTATTAAGAATTCTAAGACAACATATAGGTTTTTTTCTTTTCTTAAGTAAACGAAAGCATGAAGTTTTTTCTTAATCTTCAGTAAGAATTGTCTATATATGATGTTAAATAGAAAATAATACATTACTAACAACTTACAATTAAAATCAATGTGATGATGATCGTTATTTACTATTTATCAAGTAGCATTATTTTGAGAATCTTTATTATTCGATGAGATCTGTAATAACGAGAAAGTTATATGTATATATACTCCATGTTCACTGCTTCATCTTAGTAAATGATGGTCGTGTTAATAATTGTGAAGAAAAGTTAATATTAGTAGAAGAAAAAAATATAAGATAAATAGCATAAATCAACGGAAATATAGTGTGCACCATGATTTTGTGAATTGAAAAGTTTAGTACATTATTGAATATTTATGAATTGTATAGAAAGATGAGAGAATATATCAACTAAATTTTTTGTAATATGACCTATGAATAAAGTATCTATGTGATCAGCTTATAGTTTCTTTACCTTGTAACTTTATGATGTATCTATGAGATAAATATTCAAAGTTTATGGAGGTGATAATTCTAAATTGCTAATCAAAGAAACAAAGCACTAGATGATTACGTTTCAATTTACTTAAAATATAATTTATTGGCCATATTTACGATATTGGATTATATGAGTCTAAAAATAAGCAGACACTCTTTGTGTAATTATTTAAGTAAAATGTCATAACAGTAATACATATCAATCTCCTCAAAGAATGATTCAAATATGATGAAGATACTTTGTTGGTTTAATATTTAGTTGATTATCGATGAATTTAGATTTGTCAATAAAAATCTATATAAATCTTGAGGTTGATGAATTATCATTGTTTCGAATAAGGAAACGCATTGTAAATATAAAATTTTATTTTAGAAAATATTCCGTTATTTATTTATTAGAAATTGAAGTGCATAGATTAAAATAAATTGAGAGGAATTATCAGATGATAGTAAGGGTGTTTGCGAAATTAAATTATATTCAACACAAAAACATAAATCGAATAGACTGTTTGAATGACTATATGAACTATGACCGCTACAGATATCATTCAATGATATATGAGTCAATCGATAGGATTAAGCATCTATATGTTTTCGGCAACTATAACGGAAAGGTGAATTATATAATGTACAGATGGTGCATGTTTAATTTGTCATATAATAGAGAAAATATTATATCTTATTGTTTATGATTTATCTAATATTTTCGTTTTTTCTTTGATTTTGCTGATAAGTTGCCTTTCATTAACTAATCTTGTGTCCAACGCTAAATATCTTCCTTATTTTATGAGCAAAGTTACAAATAGAATGGTGTACAAAATGTGAAAAAAAGAATTTATTTTGAAATTATATATAATAGAATGGTATCAATGTTAATTTCACTTATTTGTCTTACAACAACGAGTAGTATGAAACAGCAGTAGATATAAATCAAGATTTTTATGAATATTCTATGTTAGATAAACAATGTTACAGGTCAAAGGTTAATGACAATACATTTGCATTTAAAAAGATTAACGGACAATAGTGAAGTATAGAGATAAGATTGAAACAAAATCAAAGAGAGTGCTTCACCGTGACATGAACTCAATGATTCTTATTCATATTTCTACATATAACTTCATTGTTGATTTATTTGTTTTGTTACTTATTAGTTTTTTTCCTTTCAAAACTGGAAGATTTCATTAAGGGTTTGATATCTAAAACATAATGACTGATTCTCTCTTGAGGGTGTGGGTTTTCAGAACAATTTTGAATTCCAATTCATTAGAAAAATGTATATTTTAGGATAGTGCTGGTTTATCCTATGAATACTACTGATTCCGATGATTTGTAGTATATCAGCATAGAAGTCAGATAAATTATATTGTATTTGCCAATGCAATAATATATAAGTCACAAATAAAATCATTCTAGAGCATGAACGATCAACCTAAGCAAGTAAGATTAATTTGAATCAGCAAAAACTCGATACCGATTCATCAACTCTCTATTCTATGTTAAAAATGTCATAACTTTAGATTGAAATCATTATAAACGCATAAGAGATTATAAAGATTAATATACTGCATGTCATAGTCTTTCAAAACAATGTGGACGATACTGTATATAGTGAAATAGATTTTATGTTAATATAATTGAGTCAAGAGAAACATGTTAAAACTAGGATGATAAGTTTTGTAAACATTCCTTACCGAATCTTTCACGTATTCTAAATAGGAAAAAGAATAAAATGACTAGATTAATTACCTTGTTAGTTACTGTCAAAATAAGAATAGTAGATAAACGCAAAGAGATGCTCGTATAAATATCTGCGTATGTTCGATGACTCGTTGGTTATGACGTTGAGAGTGTTATGTTTATTGCTTGTCTATAACTTCCTACCCATGCTTGCCATATTTCTTTTTTCTGTTCGTTTCTCTCTTCAAAGTTGCCCTTCATCGTCATCAGTCGTATTCTCCACATACTTTACACGTGAATTTGATCTTCATCTCTTTCTTGCTCTCCCTCTCTCTCTCTCACTCGTCAATGATAAAAATCTTCTGTTTTTTTGTTTTTTTCTCATCTTATTTCGTATTTATAATGAATATGGACAACATGTAAACACTAAATTTCGTATTAAAAAAAACTAGAAATCATGGCGCAGATATCCCATGTTTTTTGTTGTACAATCAAATAATTTCTTACGTTTAATAATATTCGTTTAGTTTCCATCGAACTACATCTTTAAAATACGTTAGATTTTAAAGTACTTAGTATATCAAAATTACAGGGTTATTCTTCGATTATATAGTTCTAATAATTTATTTCATGTTTGTCATATTCGTAATTTTATCTGTAATTGTTAGATGTTTTTTAGAAAAATTTTGTTCTAAATTTGAAGGTATTTGTAAATCAGTAGACAGTACATCTCTCTTGTATCATCAATAGAAAATAAATGTGTTCATAGATATGATCAGGAGACAAACTATAACTATTTCAAGATGACTAAGATTGGGCGCTTAGCTTTGGCTAATGACCACATTCGGAAGACTAATAAAAATCTCACATGTCTTGCATTGAAGAAAGTATACTTAATTTTCAATGATTTTAGTTAATTGATTATTCTATTTGTTTTCGAAGCATGGAAAAGTTATTTTATAAATTCACAAATAATCAAGAAAATATCATTTCTATTAAAAAAATTGTATTGTTGAATATATTTGTCGTTAATAGTCAAGGGATTAATAAACTATGACAGTATATTTTTCTTCAATAACATTTTGATTTTTGATTTTAAAATATGGATAACATTATTAGTTACTATAGAAGTAACCATACAATAAATAATATTACAAGTGTCATATAAACAAATTCTGTAGAATATCGCTTTCGATACCAGTAACAATGAATGCTGTTATGATATTTCATAAAATCTATTCCGAAGTATTGAGAACTGAAAAACTAGTAACATTTTCTTTATAATCAAGGAAAACACTCTGATATTATCATTTTCTTCGAACATCAATTTCAAGAATGTGTTAAACAAATGGAATTCTTTGTGGAGTATCGTAGTAATTACGTCAAATATAATACAGAGAGACTGATAGAAGGTTGTTTTGCAAAATAAAGATTGCGAAGTGACAAAATTTGTTCATTATTCTAAATAAATATGTACTTTAATTTATATAGCAATCATCCTTAGTTCTTCAAAATAGTATAAGTCATTATATGCTGTAGTAATTAAAATTGTGTGAATGTAGATGATTCAAATTCATAAGAGATTCTATATCTCAACTTAATAAAGAATAAAATATCAATCCCGATGATAAATTCATATCTATTTTGACTATAATACATCAGATATACCAGTTCATTACCATTTGATTTTGGATAAAATAGTTCTATCATGTGAAATATCAGAATAGTTAATATCTTAGTTACGTATGATTGAGCTAAGTGTCAATCTTTTTCATTTATTCTTATATAGCACACTATCTTCATCATATGTTTTCTGTCAGAGATAGAATAATCTTTTATAATACTACAAAGCAAAACAAATATCTAGAGAAAATGTAAATTTGATAAGAATATGAAATGTAACCTATAATGTTCTACTTCATTTTCATTGTATACACCAATCAAACTTAGAATGTATATCGTGGTATAAATAATTTTATGTATCGTTGACAACGAACATACAGTATAATACAAGTGTTATCAGCATTTCATGCTAATTTTCGTTAAAATAAATAATAGTCCTCTCTATCATTTGCCCCATATAACGATAGGATCGTTTTTTTTTCTCATCCATTGTCATTGTATTCTTTTTCTTTTCTTTTTCTTTCTTTCTT